GATCGTAGAGGTAAATTTTCCCCTAAAGATATGGCTACCTCTGTATTGTAGAAGTTGATCGCAAATCAAGTGACTTCGGAGAGAAGAAAGGTTGGAGAATCGTAAAGCTGATGTAACGTTGCTTTTTCAGAAAGCGGTTTGGAAGAAAAGAAAACTTCGCTTCTTGGAGAGAGTTCCTCAGAAAAATTGGTTGTAAAACGTGCTCCCAGATTAAGTGTCTTCGGAGATCCTAGAGGTACAGCATGCTCACGGTCTGAGTTACTCAAAAAAAGAAGAGGTTAGCATCATTTGTTTGAAAATCGTAAAGCTTATGTAACGTTGCTTTTTCAGAAAGCGGTTTGGAAGAAAAGAAAACTTCGCTTCTTGGAGAGAGTTCCTCAGAAAAATTGGTTGCAAAACGTGCTCCCAGATCAAGTGGTTCCGGAGAGAAGAAAGGTTTGGTTCTGGAAACCTTCACTGGTACTTCATACTTTCAGAAGGTGGATTTAGATCCGGCGACTTCGGAGAGAAGAAAGGTTGGAGAATCGTAAAGCTGATGTAACGTTGCTTTTACAGAAAGCAGTTCTGGAGAAAAGAAAAGTTCACTTCTTAGAGAGAGTTCCTCAGAAAAATTGGTTGCAAAACGTGCNCCCATGAGCAGGATTTCGTAATTTATTCCAACCGCATCTTTTTTTCTAGACAATTCGCTAAAAGAGTGTAGTGTTACGAAATTAATTTGAAGCTCATATCATTAACATTAGCATGAAGCTCAAGACTAGTACAATTCCTTATTTGGTTCATTTTTTCAGTGAGCTTTTCGAGTTTGGCTTAGCGACTATGTTTTCTGGAAGTGAAAAAAAAAAAAAACGTGATCCCAGATTCAGTGACTTTGCAGGAAGGATAGGTTTGGTTCTGGATACCTTCACTGGTACTTCCTATTTTCAGAGAGTGGATTTAGATCCGGCGACTTCGGAGAGAAGAAAGGTTGGAGAACCGTAAAGCTTATGTAACGTTGCTTTTACAGAAAGCAGTTCTGGAGAAAAGAAAAGTTCACTTCTTAGAGAGAGTTCCTCAGAAAAATTGGTTGCAAAACGTGCNAGAGTTCCTCAGAAAAATTGGTTGCAAAACGTGCTCCCAGATCAAGTGTCTTCGGAGATCCTAGAGGTACAGCATGCTCACGGTCTGAGTTACTCGGGTGATTGCAGATGTTGGCTTCAGATCCAGCGTCTTCGCTGAAAAAAGAGGTTTGTTCCCGATTCTGACGAGTTCCAAATTATCATTTTAGATAGCGTCTTTGGTGGAGGAAGAGGTTAGGCTGTATGAGATGGTTTTA